GGAACCCTCGTGCACTGCTGGTGGGAATGCAAACTGGTGCAGCCACTGTGGAAGACAGTATGGGGGTTACTCAAAAAGTTGAAGATAGAACCATATGATCCAATAACTGCACTATACTGGGTATTTACCCCCAAAATACAAAAACATGAATTCAAAGGGATACATGTACCCCATGTTTATTGTACCATTATTTACCAAATTATGGAAGCAGCCAAAGTGTCCACTGATAGATGAATGGATAAAGAAGATGTGTGTATATATATATATATATATATATACATACACACACACACACACACACACACACACACACACGACGGAATATTATTCTGCCATAAAAAGGAAACGAAATCTTGCCATCTGCAAGGACACAGATGGAGCTAGAGAGTATAACGCTAAGCAAAATAAGTCAGAGAAAGACAAATACTATATGATTTCACTCACGTAGAAGTTAAGAAAACAAGCAAGCAAAGGGAAGGAGAGAGAGAGACAAGCTAAGAAACAGACTCTTAACTATAGAGAACAAACTGACGGTCACCAGAGGGGAGGCTGACGGGGGGATGGGGCCAACAGGTGATGGAGACTAAGGAGGGCGCTTGTTGTGATGAGCACTGGGTGATGTAGGGAAGTGCTGAATCACTATACTGCACACCCGAAACTAACAGAACACTGTATGTTAACTGTGCTGAATTAAAATTAAAAATTTTAAGGGCTGCCTGGGTGGTTCAGTCAGTCAAGTGTCCAATTCTCGATTTCAGCTCAGGTCATGATCTCATGTCTCGTAAGTTTGAACCCCGTGTCAGGCTCTGTGCTGACAGTACGGAGCCTGCTTGGGATTCTTTCTCTCTCCCTCTCTCTCTCTGCCCCTCCCCTGCTCTCTCTCTCAAAATAAACATTTTTTAAAAATTAAAAACTTAAAAAAAGAAAGAAAGAACGAACGCTTACTCTGTAGCCAGCCTTTCCATTTTGTAAATGGTATCTTCTGATAAACGGATACTCTCCATTTTAAATGTATACAAATTATCACTTTCTTTTTTTATTTAATGCCTTGTGTCTCTTTTAAGAAGCCATTCCCTATACAGCACGGTGACTATATAGTGAATATGGTATTGCATATTTGAAAGTTGCTAAAAGAGGAGATCTTAAAAGTTTTCATCACAAGAAAAACAAATTTGCAAGCGTGTATGGGGACGGATGTTAGACTTATCGCAGTGATCATTGTGCAATATAATCCAGTACACACAAATATCAAATCGTTGTGTCATACACCTGAAATTAATGTTACATGTCAATTATGTAATAAAAGAATAGTAAAATAAATGTGTGGGGGAAAAAGAAGCCATTCCCAACCCCGAGGCCGTGAAATACACATCATCTTCTAAAAGCTTTACTGTTGTTGCCTCCCACATTTAGGTCTGCAATCCACCTAAACTTAATTTCTGTACATTGTGCAAAGTATGAGTCCAGCTTCATGTCTCTCCCTCTGGACACCCGGTTGTCCCAGCATCATCTCCTGAAAAGCCCCTTTCCCCTTGATCTCGAACTTCTAACCTCCAGAGCTATGAGAACAATAAATTTCTGTTGTTTAGGCCACTTGATGTGTGGTAGCTCGTTAAGGCTGGCCTAGGAAACTAATGGAGACACAACTACCAAAACTGACTTAAGAGGAAATAGAAAATCCTGGCAAACCTATAAAAAAGTAGAGAGATTGAGTTAGTAACCAAAAAACTTCCCACAAAGAAAAGCCCAGGCCCGGATGATCTCATTAAGGAATTCTACCAAACATTTAAAGAATAACAGGGGCTACCTGCGTGGCTCGGTCAGTTAAACGTCCGACGTCGGCTCAAGTCATGATCTCACAGTTCGTGAGTTCGAGCCCCGCGTCACGCCGTATGCTGACAGCTTGGAGCCTGGAGCCTGCTTGGGATTCTGTGTCTCCCTCTCTCTCACCCTCCCACCCTCATACTCTGTCTATCAAAAATCAACATTAAAAAATTTTTTTTCAAAAAGAAAACAAAGAAAGCCATCATAGAAAAACAACATGTTACATAAGGAGAACACGGATATGAATGTCAGCAGATTTCACATCAAAAAATATGCTAGCAGTGGGGCAGCTTGGGTGGCTCAGTCGGTTGAGTGTCGGAGTCTCGATTTTGGCACAGGTCATGATCTCACAGTTCGAGCCTCGCATTGAGCTCTGGACAGACAGTGCGGAGCCTGCTTGGGGCTCTCTCTCTCTCTGCCCCTCTCCCGCTGGCACGCACAAGCATTCTGTCTCTCTCTTTGCCCCTCCCCTGTGCACTCTCATTCTCTCTCCCTTTCTCTCAAAATAAATAAACTCTAAAAAAATAAAATTAAAAAAAAAATGCTAAGAGGCATACCGAAAAAGCCAATAAAGGAGTTAATTTTGAAATTGTAACAAATAATTAAATGAAAAGATGACGGGAAAGAAAGGACAGGGAAAGATAATACATGGGATAAACAGGAAATAAAGAGCAAGATGTCAGACTCAAGTCTCGTCCTATTTTCATTATTTTATTTTATTTTATTTATTTTTTTTTAATTTTTTTTTCAACGTTTATTTATTTCTGGGACAGAGAGAGACAGAGCATGAACGGGGGAGGGGCAGAGAGAGAGGGAGACACAGAATCGGAAACAGGCTCCAGGCTCTGAGCCATCAGCCCAGAGCCCGACGCGGGGCTCGAACTCCTGGACCGCGAGATCGTGACCTGGCTGAAGTCGGACGCTTAACTGACTGCGCCACCCAGGCGCCCCCTATTTTCATTATTTTAAATGTCAATGAACTGAACACTATACTCAAAAAGTAGAGATTATCAAGCTGGGTTTAAAAAAAAAGAAATGCCCGGGGCGCCTGGGTGGCTCAGTCAGTTAAGCGTCTGACTTCGCCTCAGGTCATGATCTCATGATTCAAGCCCCACATTGAGCTCTGGGCTCTGGGCTGACAGTGTGGAGCCTGCTTGGGATTCTCTCTCTCCCTCTCTCTCTGCCCCTCCCCTGCTCACTCTCTCTCTCTCCCTTTCAAAAATAAAAAATACACATTAAAAAATTTAAAAAAAAAGAATTGATACTGATCCTTTCCAAAAATCTCTTCCCCAAAGACCAGTATTAATTACCCTGATACTAAAACCAGACAAAGACATCATGAGAAAAGTACAGACCAATATTCCTTATGAGTATAGATGCAAACCCATCAACAAAATACTAGCAAACTAAATCCAGCAATATATAAAAAGGATTATATACTATGATCAAGTGGGATTTACCCCGGCAATGTAAGGTTGGTTCCACATAGGAGAATCAATCTTAAGTGATACAGTGTAAGAAGATAATAAAAAACAAAACCACACGATCGTCTCAATAAATGCAGAAAAAGCATTTGATAAAATGTAACTCTTCACGTTAAAAACACTCAACACACCAGGAAAAGAAGGAAATTTCCTCAACCTGACAGAGGGCAATCTATAAAAACGCACAGCTAATGTCATACTTAGTGGCAAGAGTCTGAAAGATTTCTAAGATCAGGAACAAGACAAGGATGTCTGTTCTCGCCACTTCTGCTCCCCAGTGTCCTGGCCTGGAGAGTCTAGCCAAGGCAATCAGGTGAGAAAAAGAATTTTTCCAGTAGGTGATGAAACTCATTTACTAATTCTAGTAATACTACCTGCAGATTTCCTTTGAATTTCCTACATTCACAATTACATCATCTGCGGAAAATAGTTTTGTTTCTTCCTTTCTAACCTCTATACAGTTTCTTTCTTTTTTCGTGTGTTACTGCTCTGGCTAGAATCTGGCTGGAGTAAGGACAGAGGGCTCCCGAGTCATTCCTGAACTCAGAGCAAAAGTTTTCAATGTTAAACACTGGGTATCATATTTGGTATAGCTTTTTTAAAAAAGATCATCTTCCCTTCCACTCCTAGCTTGCTGCAAGTTTTAATCATGAATAGACACATTTTATCAAATGCTGTCTCTCTATTTATTGAGATGATCCTATGACTGTCCTCCTTTAACCTGTTGGTGGAGTGAATTAAAGTGACTACATAATGTTAACCCTCACATTTCGTATCTAAAATTAACTTGGTCAAAATGTGCTCTTTGTCTTATGTATTCCTGCTTTTAATCTTCTAGTATTTTATTTAGGATTTTTCCCTCTACATTCCTTTGAAACCGGACTGCACTTTTACATTCTGGAATTACTCCCATAGAGTTTTGGAATTAAGGTTAAGTTAGCCTCGTCCACTCAAGTCAGCCAAACAACACTTACTGAGCTCCAACTACATGACCAGCACTGTTCTAGGTGCTTGGTGAATTAACAGACAAGGATCCTTCTTTTTGTGGTGTTCACATTTCCAGGGAGAGTGATAAACTCAATAAAAAATACGATATATGGGGGCGCCTGGGTGGCTCAGTCAGTTGAACGTCAGATTCCTGGTTTCAGCTCAGGTCATGATCTCACGGTTTAGTGAGTTCAAGCCCTGCATGGGGCTCTGCTTGGGATTCTCTGTCTCCCTCTCTCTGCCCCTCACCCACTCATGCTGTCTCTGTCTCTCTCAAAATAAATAAATAAACTTAAAAAAAACACAAATAAATGAAGAAGAATGAATGAGGGCGTTCTGTAAGAGAGGAGGTTGGAGACTAACCGGGGCCAGATCAGTTATCACTAACCGGAAGGACGTTTGGCTTGCACTCCGGATGCGGTAAGGAGCCACTAAAGAATTGTGAGCTGAGGAGTACGTGATCGGGTTATGTCTGGAAAGGACCAGCCAGGATGTTGTGTCGAGGAAGGACTGTACAGGAACAGGTGGTAGCCAGAAGAGGGTCGTAGGAAGAGACATGGTGAAAAGTGATCGGATTCTGACAGATCTCAAAGGCAGAATCAACAGGGTTTCCTGACAGACTGGACTTGGGTTTCAGGAGACAGAGATGGCAACGATCCTACCATCTGAGATGAAAAGGTGGACGGACGCATCGCGACCAGCTGAAATTGATACAAATAAACTGAGGTTGGCGCCCATTTGTAAAGGACAAGCGGGAGGTCAGCTATGCACAAAAAAGTACAGTTTGCGGTATCTATCAAACGTTCAAGTGTAGATGTCAATTAGTGATGGGACGTTTTAAGTCTGAGTTTAGAAGAAAGCTCTGGGTTGATGACATAAATTTAAAATACATTTCATAATACCCAAATGCACAAGGCTTTCCACGTTAACTCTTCATTGCCCTTATCAAGGGGAAACATAAGGAGGGGCACGAGAACAGCTTAGTGACTCGGGGTGTCCCTGTAAAAGTCAGGCTGTGGACTCTGCCTCGGGGGAGCGAGAGGGGGCTGCACTGATACGGATGCTTCAACTCTGCTGTCCTGAGTGAAGCCCCAACTTCAAGTTCTAACAACACTAATAAAAATAATACTTACTGACACTAGTTGAGGGATTTGCCAGCTGCCAACCACGGCTCTGATGTACATTCGCTGAGTACGTTAACCCTCGTAGCGACCATATGGAGCAGATACGATGATCGCCTCCTTTAGAGATGAGGGGAAGTACGGCCTGCTTGGCCACGGGCACGTCACTGGTAAGTGGCAGAGCCAGAAGTCAAGCCCAGGCAACCCAGTTTCGAAATCTGTACGTTCTAGGAGGGATTCCTGACTCGACTCCGTAAGAACCGTCCGCTCAGGGGCTCCTGTATTCCTCACGGGAAGGGAAGACGCCTTCTTCACATCCACCTCGCCTTTCCCTTCCCATCTCCCACTGCTCCGTCAAAAGAAGCCTCTTGTCCGACTCTCCCAGTCAGCAGCTCCCTGCAGTCCTCGGCTTCGGAAAGCCTCCTTCCCACCTGGAAGTCGTTCCACGTGGTGCAGATGAGACTGACTCCAAGGGTCTCCCTCCGGGGGCCCGTGACCACCTGGGCAATCTGACTGTTCGTGACACCGGTCACGGTGCCTGGCTCAAGAACAGCCAGATGGCCCACTACTTCCCCGTCATGTGATACATCAGCCCTGCTAGCTGTTCCCCGGAAGTCAGGAACATGAAGACAATGCGCACCTAGGACTGCCAGCACCTTCTCGGGCACGCTGAGAGCCTACGCAGACGAGTCCAGAAGAGATGGGAGAGACAGAAACAGAGGATATGGGGGGGGGGGGGGGGGCGCCCCCGGAGAATAACCATCCGAACATCCAGATCCAGCCACACTACTTACTTGCAGTCATTTGGTTACACGAACCCGTAAATTCATGTTTCGTTCTGCCGCTTTCGGCCGGTTGAGTTGGGTTTCCACACCCGCTCCCCACAGATCCAGGCACGTCCTTCATGCTTGTTCCTGACCTTCCACAGGCTACTGACTCTTCAAGGCTGAACTCGGTGAGGCCTCTAGGAGGCCTTCCCAGTTCCCCAGACCCACTTTATTCTGATACCCTGTGGACATCCTCTTTACCCATGAATTTTAGCATGTTATGTAATTCTTGGCGTGTATTAATCTGAACCCAAGATCCAGATGACTGCAGCCATTATCCTACCTGACATCCCCTGTACCATCCCACGGCCATGTCCTGACTCTACTGCTCCCTCTCCCTCATCCAGGCTCCACAGCATCGACCTCTAGAAATTCAGTCCATGTCACAGCCTCTAAAAGCTCTTATCTCCAGGGGTGCCTGGTTGGCTCAGTCAGTTAAGCATCTGACTCTTGGTTTCGGCTCGGGTCATGATCTCAAGGTTTGCGAGCTCAAGCCCCGCGTGGGGCTCTGTGCTGACCGTGTGGCACCTGCTTGGGATTCTCTCCCTCTGCCCCTCCCCTTCTCATACTGCCTCTGTAGCTTGCAAAATAAATAAATACACATTGAAAAACAAATATAAAAAATAAATAACTAAAAGTTCTTATCTCTGGCCTCCCAGCTAGATTTACTCTCCGTTCTCAGAATCCGATGGTATTTCATCTCATCTTTTAATTTTTTTTTTTAATTTTTAATGTTTATTCATTTTGAGAGAGAGACAGAGCGCAAGTGGGGGAGGGGCAGAGAGAGAGGGAGACACAGAATCCGAAGCAGGCTCCAGGCTCTGAGCTGTCAGCACAGAGCCCCACGTGGGGCTCAAACTCACAGACGGCGAGATCATGACCCGACTCGAAGTTGGACACTTAACCGACTGAGCCACCCGGGCGCCCCTCAAGCTAAATTTTTATGTCTTTAAGGACAGGTTTGCATCTGATTCATTTATGTGTCACACTACACAGTGTTTGTTGAACGAATGTGTTTTAAAGACAACAATATTTATGAAGCCTCAAGTGTAGACCTAGAATTGGGTCAGACACTCCCGGCAATAAAAGTGCTATCAAAAAGCATGGTCCTCCCAGAAACACAACTGTCTTAGGTTCCCGAATAAACTATAAATTCAGTAATTACATCATATATTTTTTTACGGCCACAATAGTACCTAACTCCAAGTGAAGCAGATAACAGAAGTGCCCTGACCTGCACTAACGTGACAATCGTCTTGGCTGACAACACTTATTGCACAACAACGATATATAATTTGGTGTTCGGATGCTGGTAACTCATTCTAACACAATGGGCTATGCAGTTGTTTTTAACAAAATTCTATTTTAAGTCTAAGTAATTCCCAGCAATCTACCATATACTTTTAAAAATTAAACATAGTAGGGGCACCTGAGTGGCTCAGTCGGTTAAGCACCTGACTTCAGCTCAGGTCATGATCTCACGGCCATGGGTTCAAGCCCCGCATCGGGCTCTGTGCTGATGGCTCAGAGCCTGGAGCCTGCTTTGGATTCTGTGTCTCCCTCTCTCTCTACCCCTCCCTAGCTTGCACTGTGTCTCTCTCTTCTTCAAAACTAAATAAATATTTTTTAAAAATTAAACATAGTAACTTTCATATACTAAAAATTACAAATAGATATAAAATTTTATTAATCTAAATATTTTTTAGGAGGCATGTATCATTTCCAAAATGTTTTTAATGTTAACTATAAAAATCACCTGACAAACAGAAAAACTAACCTCAGGTCCAGAATGTATAGTCAGGAAACTTTCCACAGCCGTCAGCGTACCTAAAAGAGTAGAATAGCAAAAGTAAATCAAGTAAGATCTATGTAACCAAGACGTGTAGTAATAAACTATTCCTATTCTGTTAGGGACCACTTTTACTAAGCGTATAGCCGATACAGTCAGAAAATCAATACTGGTAACAGTTCTAGTATGTTACTGGAAATAGACTTAAGAAGCAACTGAAGCCAAGGAAATTGTCAGAAAGAATCGTTTAGAATGAACTCCAAGTGCTAGTACTAATAAGATCTTTTCTAGTATTCAGACTGAAAACACTAAAAATCTCTTCCAACAAGGTAACAAGTTCACTCACTCTGAAGGCAACAAGGCAACAAGTTCACTCACTCTGAACAGCCATTGGGACACAGTTCTCAAAATTACATCTGTGTAATGGATTAATTCTGTTTTCCAGTATGACTGCTTTCAAGAAGGCTTGTTTGTACTGATTTACCATGAATAAATGCACAGAAAGCCTATCAAAATGGCCTGTGTGATGGCTTATAAAATACTTAAGGCTGTTAAAATGAAATAAAGAAATAAGCATAAATAATGACAGAAAACCAAAGCCAGAAAAAGAGGGAGAAATCAATCATGTAACCATGGAGACTAATATATAGGCATAGTAGTTACATAATTGTTGAATTTCTCAAGAGCAGTAAGACAAAAGAAAAACGTAATGCGCAAATTCTGAAAATCTGATCATACGAAATACATCAAGGGGCGCCTGGGTGGCTTAGTTGGTTAAGTGTCCGACTCTCGATTTGGGCTCAGGTCAAGATCTCGCAGTTCATGAGTTGGAGCCCTGCGTTGGGCTCTGCACAGGCAGTGCAGAGCCTGCTTAGGATTCTCTCTCTCTCCCTCCCTCTCTCTCTCTCTCCCCCCTCTTTCTGCAACTCCTGTGCATGCATGTGCTCTAAGTAAACTTAAAAAAAAAAAAAGAAATATATCAATTTCTTAAGAGGACAGTTTTCCTTGTTTTAATTCTAAGAGAGGACCAAATTACGGGGCCCTAGAAAGCTGACAAAGAAAGATAATGAATAACCACGTCATCCAGAGTGATAAGAACTATAGCCACATAAATATCGTTAGGGGACCACTGACAAAGCCCAAAACAGATCATTACAGTGCAAGTCACTGAGAGGATTCTGCGGGTTGCTAAGAGAATGCAGTCGGGATTTATGGCTCTGTGATCTAACCTATCTACAGAAAGAACATGGACCACCGAAGGCAATATGCAACAAAATGCGGCCCACTGTATCAAACAATCAGCTGGGACACTTGTTAAAACACTGACTCAAGTTTCAGTATCTGAGAACAAAGTGTTTTTGTTTTTTTTTTAACATTTATTTTTGAGAGACAGAGAGAGACAGAGCAGGAGTGGGGGAGGAGCAGAGAGAGAGAGGGAGGCCTAGAATCCAAAGCAGACTCCAGGCTCTGAGCTGTCAGCACAGAGTCTGACAAGGGGCTCAAACCCACAAACCCTGAGATGATGAAAACAAAGTTTGTAAACAAGGTGTAATGTTTTCCCTTTATTAAAAGGAAAAAAGACCTATTCAAAATAACAGAAACTATTAAATATTTAAAAGCAAGTTTAGTAAGAAATATGCAAAACTATCATGAAGATATCTAAACTGTATAGATTTAAAAGAGTATTTTTGAGAAATGGAGACCAGGTTCATGATTGCAAGACTGAATGCTTTAAAGATGTTCAATTCATGTTCTTCTTTTTATCAGGAACAGTTCTAGTGTTTCATCACCGAGTATGATACTGGCTATTGCCTTCCGACATTTTTATGTTAATAAAATATTCTATTCCTAAATTCCTAAAAATCGGAATCAGCACATGGCAAGAATTTTCAGATGATTTATGGAGATGGTCATACAGCTTTTCATCTTCGATATTCTGATGTAATGATTACATAACTTCCTAACAAACCTTGGTCTTGATATATTATTCTCTTAAAATGCCATTGAATATCTACTAAAATTTTATTTAGCATTTTTTTACTACTAATTTCACTAAGCAAGACTGCTTTGGAGCCTTTTTTTTGGTGCTATCTTTTTAAGTGCTATCTGGGGCTTTGGTTTCAGAGTTACGTTAAATTTTTTTTTTTTTAATGTTTATTCTTGAAAGAGAGAGAGAGAGAGAGAGACAGAGGATGAGTGGGGGGAGGGGGGGGCGGGCAGAGCAAGAGAGGGACACAGAATCCGAAGCAGGCTCCAGGCTCTGAGCTATCAGCACAGAGCCCGACGCAGGGCTCGAACTCATGAGCTGTGAGATCATGACCTGAGCTGAAGTCAGATGCTTAACCGACTGAGCCACCCAGAGTTACGTTAACTATTTAATATAAACTGAAACACTTTCCACCTGGTTAAGCTCTAGAACAGTTTATAGGACATTGGAGTTACCTATTTCATGTCATTTTCTAAATGGACCCTTTTAAAATAAGCATGGCATTAGTAACTTCCTGTTTACCATAATATTTATTTTTTCTCATTTTTTTAAATAAAGGGTTTTTAATGCTAAGCTGCTACTATTTACATCAAAAAGCTTTCAAGAGCATAACTGTTAAGGCATAGAACTTTGTTCATTTCTCAGTGGAAAGTAGAGTTGGCATTTCTAGTCGACTTTGGAAGGTCAGTAACCCTGCATTTTTTACTTGTGTATCTATTGCTGTCATCCATTTCCTTTTTTTTTTTTTCAGGTTTTTATGTTAATCACCCAGCGCTCATCACAAGTGCACCCCTGAATCCCCATCACCTATTTAACCCATTCCCCATCCACCTCCCTGACCATCATTGTGTCCTCTACAGTTAAGAGTCTGCTAGGGCGCCTGGGGGCTCAGTCAGTTAAGCGTCCGACTTTGGCTCAGGTCATGATCTCCCGGGTCATGGGTTCAAGCCCCGCGTCAAGCTCTGTGCCGACAGCTCGGAGCCTGGAGCCTGCTTCGGCTTCTGTGTCTCCCTCTTTCTCTGTCCCTCCCCTGCTCTCATTCTGTCTCTCTCTGTTTCTCTCAAAAATAAATAAACGCTAAAAAAAAAGAAGACTTCAATTCTTAATTTGTCTCTTTTTTTACCTTTGCTTGTTTCATAAATTCCACATACGAGTGAAATCACATAGTATTTGTCTTTCTCTGACTTACATCTCTTAGCATTATACTCTCTAGCTCCATCCATGTTGTTGCAAATGGCAAGATTTCATTCTTTTTTATGGCTGAATAATATTCCAGTGTGTGTGCGTGTGTATGCACACACACAGATATGGATATATGTGTGTATACACCACATCTTCTTTACCCATCAATCAGTGGACACGCGGGCTGCTTCCACATCTTGGCTGCTGTAACTAGTGCTGTAATAAACAGAGGGGTGCACATATCCCTTGGAATTGGTTGGTGTTTTCGTACTATTTGGGTAAATTCCTGGTGGTGTAATTGCTGAATTGCAGGGTAGCTCTATTTTTAACTTTTTGAGGAAGCTCCCTACTGTTTCCCACGGTGGCTGCACCAGTTTGCATTCCCACCAACAGTGCACAGGGTTCCTTTTTCTCCACATCCTCGCCAACACCTCTTGTCTTAAAAATATGGAATGCTTCACATATCTGCGTGTGTCATCTTTCCGCAGGGACGTGCTCATCTTCTCCGTATTATTCCAATTTTAGTATTTAAAAAAAAATTTTTTTAACATTTATTTATTATTGAGAGAGAGAGACAGAGAGACAGAGCATGAGCAGGGGAGGGGCAGAGAGAGAGGGGGAGACACAGAATCCAAAGCAGGCTCCAGGCTCCGAGCTGTCAGCACAGAGCCCAACAGCACAGAGCCCAACGCGGGGCTCGAACTCACAAACTGCAAGATCATAACCCGCACTGAAGTCGGTCGCTCAACCCACTGAGCCACCCAGGCGCCCCCAATTTTAGTAGTATGTGCTGCCCAAGTCAACATGATTTTTTCCACTCTTAAATTATTGGTTCCTTTTACAGATGGGGTGAAATAGAAGCCAAAAAATTTGTTCAATACTTTTCAGCTTTGTTGATTAAAAGTTTTAAAACTTCAATTATAATAGCTATATAAATCATTTCCTTAAATGTATTAATTCCAAAACCAAGCAAGTTTGAATTTACAATGACTGTCAGAAATTCTATTTCCAGAAATGTTACAGCTCTAACCGTAACTAAATTGAGACAATGGATAATTCCTCACTTTAGAACATGCATCTCAAAAAATAGCGTCAGTAGTATTTTTTTTTTTAAGTAGGCTTCATGCCTAGTACAAAGCCCAACATGAGGCCTGAACCCACGACCCTGGGATCAAGACCTGAGCTGAGATCAAGAGTCAGACGCTTAACCGACTGAGCCACCCAGGCGCCCTGTCACATTTTATAACAATTACCGCTATATTAGAAACAAAGCACCTGTGTTCACATTACCCACTAATAGTTCTGCTTCTCTTCCACACTACAAACATGAAGCCTTTCTATTGTAAATCCATTTATTGCTTCTTGATTGATAATTACCATTCATCTTGTTTTTGGTATATATCACTCCCAGGTCTGCTGGAATGGAATCAAAGCCACTGCTTCCAATGATATAAGCTCCCTTTTCTGCAGCTTTCTCGTGATACTTCCAATACATTAGTTCCAGAAACTAAAAAATCCAGGACAAAAATGTGAATCAGAGCTATTTAAATCAGAAACATTTACATCAGTATTCGATGAGAGACCTTAAAAGACAAAGCAATTGCATTTTGAAAATGCTAACAGGTATGGCTTTGTAGTGAAATATTAAGGGTCGAAATGTTTTTCATTTATTCAGCAAGTATTCACTGGATATCTGCCAGATGCCAACTAGTGCAGAAGATAAGCTGGTCTGACTTAACGACGCTATTAATTTTTTCAAAATGCCTTTTAAGTGTCAGAGTAACATCTATTATGAAAAATTAAATTAATATACAAAAAAAATACAAAAAAAAAAAAAAAAGGCAAGAAAGCCTAACCCAAACCTATTACTCAGACGGACACGATTACGGACACGTATCTGTGCATATTTAGAGTAAAGCAAGTGGAGGGAAGGAGGGATGAAAGAGGAGAATAACGTCCGCTCGAATCCTCCGCCTGGGTTTACAATTACTTCCAGAACAGTGTCGGATTTACAGAAAATTTGAGTAGCGGAGAGTTCCCACGCACCCCGCCCCAGTTTCTCCCGTCGTGACAGCTTGGACACGAACATTTGTTCCAATTGAGGAACCCATGGTGGTAACATTATCATTAGCTACAGTCCATTCTTATCCACCCTTTTTCTCTGCCAGGATCCCACAGGACATGTAGCGGTCACGTCTCCTTAGGCTCCTCCTGGCTATGACGGTGTCTCAGAGTCTCGTTTCCGAGGACCTTGACAGTTTTGAGGGCTTCCGATGAGGTATTTTGTAGACCGCCCCTCTACTGGAATTCTCAAGACTAGACTGGGGTGATGGGTTTGGGGCTTAAAAATCAGCACAGCCTACCTACAAGAGACCTGAAATCAATGAGGTGGTACGAAAGAAAAAAATTCGAGAAAACGGAAGAAGAGACCTTCCCATCGGGCTCTCCTGTGAGCCGTCCACAGAACACCATCTGTCACCACGAGGGAAGGGGACATCGAATTCTAAAATAGGTCTGCGAAACTGCACTAAGTATTGTCCACGCTAACAGAAAGTTGCGTTGCTAATTCCATTCTTTCCTTTGCATTTTACGTACCTGAGGTTCTCCACAGATGTCAATATAGCTCGTTCCATTTTCAACACACGCTTTTACTACAGGTTCTCCGTAAAATCGATACTGCAGGGGGGAGGATAAAGAAAGCCAGCAGTTAACTCGTACTTAGCAAGCTTAAATGAATGAAATGCCACTGAGTTTTATAAGTACAGTCTTGGTTACCATGACTGAAATATTAAGGGGCGCCTGGGTGGCTCAGTCGGTTAAGTGTCCAACCCTTGATTTCAGCTCAGGTCATGATCTCACGGTTTGTGAGTTCAAGCCCTGCCTTGGGCTCTGTGCCGACAGCTCAGAGCCTAGAGCCTGCTTCGGATTCTGTGTCTCCCTCTCTCTCTCTCTGCCCCTCCCCCACTCATGCTCTGTCTCTGTCTCTCTCTCTCTCTCTCTCTCCTTCAAAAATAAATAAAATATTTTTTTAAAAAATTTTTTAATTTAAGTATACATAAAATAGAAATAGAGATTACAATGAAAGAGGTCAAGCCCAAGTTGGGGTTTAAACTCACAACCCTGAGATTGTGACATGAGCTGAGATCAAGAGTCAGGGGCTTAACTGACTGAGCCCCCAGGTGCCCCAAAGTTCTTTTTTCATCTTGGGCAATCCTTAAGATTTACACACATCCACTTTGAAACTCATTTGGAGCCTCTTTTGGCCTTTCTCTTGGTTATCTTCTCCCAAAGTTTCTCAAGTTGGCCAGGCGTCCACCTGTGTTAAAGTCACCTAGGTGACTCGTTAAGTATGTTTTTTTTTTGGTTTTTTTTTTTCAACGTTTATTTATTTTTGGGACAGAGAGAGACAGAGCATGAATGGGGGAGGGGCAGAGAGAGAGGGAGACACAGAATTGGAAACAGGCTCCAGGCTCTGAGCCATCAGCCCAGAGCCCGACGCGGGGCTCGAACTCCCGGACCGACAGATCGTGACCTGGCTGAAGTCGGACGCTTAACCGACTGCACCACTCAGGCACCCCTAAGTATGTTAAGTATGGATGGTGACTCCCTCCCACCCCAGAGGCCCCCTAAACCAGAGTTTCTGGGGATGGAGCCCAGTAACACGCATGTCAACAGGCAGGGTCGACTCCAGTGACATTCCTCATGGGTGATTCTTATGCACGCCAGGGCTGCCGAATCTCCCCAGAAAATTTCTACTCTCCTGATGTCACCTACAACAGGTATCCTGATGACATTCAACGTCTATCTCCAGAACTAACAGACGCTTCCGTATCTTTGGTTTCTGTTAGAAAGTTCAGGACCAGCAAGAGCACAGGACACAGGGCATGATCTGTTGTTTTTTTTTTAATTTTTTTTTCAACGTTTATTTACTTTTGGGACAGAGAGAGACAGAGCATGAATGGGGGAGGGGCAGAGAGAGAGGGAGACACAGAATCGGAAACAGGCTCCAGGCTCTGAGCCATCAGCCCAGAGCCCGACGCGGGGCTCGAACTCCCGGACCGCGAGATCGTGACCTGGCTGAAGTCGGACGCTTAACCGACTGCGCCACCCAGGCGCCCCGACACAGGGCATGATTCGTGCATAAAACTGATTTTACTTTGGCTTTGTTGTACCTCCCCTATTTTCTCTTCACCCTGATTTCCTCACTTATTAAAAAAATAATAATTCTACTATATTTTACGTATTTCCTGTCTTAATTCCAGAATGCTCAGGGGCATGGGGGGGGGGGGTTGCCAGGGTGGCTTAGTCAGTTGAGCATCGGACTCTTATTCTTGGCTCATATCTTGATCTCATGGCTCGTGGGTTCGAGCCCCGCATTAGGCTCTGCACTGGCAGCACGGAGCCTGCCTGGAGTTCTCTCTCCCTCTCTCTCTGCCCCTCCCCTGCTCATGCTGTATCTCTCTCAAAATAAATAAATAAAACATTAAAAAAAAAAAAAAAGAATACTGAGCAGACAACCCAAATTCAAATCCGTGATCTTTCTTACAAACCTGTTTCCCTCCTCTACTTTGTAACAGCGGTGACTAGGGCGTATTGATTAGAAGCGTAGGTGGTGGCTCAGACAGCCTGGGCCCCACTCGCCATTCCTGTCCTGACCTGTTGCAGGTAGGGACCTTGAGGAGACAGAACCGTGCAAATGGCTGACCAGCAGCCCGTCTAGGGCACAGGCTTTAAGGTCGGGCCTGACTGAGTCCAGGCTGCGCACCACCAGCTGTGCGAACTTGGGCGGGTACTTCACCTTCTAAGCTTCGATTTCCTCATCAAAAAAGATGAATAATCACAGCACCTATGTCTCAGGGCTATAGTCAGGACGAAATAAGACGACACAAGTAGCTTAGCACAGAGCACGCAGTAAAACCCACCCTTGGGTGTCATGATTAACCGCATCCTCAAGTGAGAAACCCAGAAGCTGTCTCTGACTCCATCAACCCTGGAAGGTACCACGTTTCATCAAGTCAGTCCCCTCCCCTCCACGCCTCCGAATCCGAGGTCACGCCTTTGCCCCCTCTCATGCAGTTTACTGCAGTGACAGCTTTCACTGCAGCCAAACCCACCCCATCGCCAAAGAAACACCAAATCGTTATTCTAGAATAAAAAGCTGAGGTCACGTGTGCTCCTTCTCACACACACACGCATCACTAGCTCTCGGTGCCTGTATCTCCAGGCATGTCACAAAAAGTGCTCAAGCCTCAGGTCACACCACCAGCCCTTAGTCCTCATGTCGCAGAAGTTCGAAACACCTCGTAGTTTCCTAAACCCGCCATTGCTTCACCCTCCCCTGCTCGCGGCTGCCCCAGCCTTCCGGGTTAGGTAACGGCAGCTCCTTCCAGAAACAGCACGCCCACCCCCCTTCAGCGCAGCGCCCCCGGCCTCACACTGCACTCTGGCACGAGTGACGTGAAGGCCTCTGCACTGACACCCCTGGATTCGTGTGTTCTGGGGGTGTTCTCTACCGTCTACCCTTGGGCTTCTAGGAGGTAACGGACAAACGGCAAGGATCCTTGATCTCAGAGGAGGCATTTCTCCCCAGAGAAGCCAGTGCGCTTCCAGATCGAAACCACAATCCCGCTCTGAGCGCCCCACCTTCCGACCCAGTGGTTCCCAAATAGGCATGCTGACCTCAAGGCGCCCACAGAACCATCCCTCAGCTGTGGAGAGAGCAATCTGTGTATTTATGCTAACGTTTATGGGAAGCACAGAGAAAAGAATGAGGTCTTATTAGTGGTTAATACATGAACTGACTTCGGCCTGCTTCCTGGGTCCCACGCAGTGGTCACACGTCGAACACAAGACACAAAAGGTATCCTGAGGGTAGCCTGTGGAGGAAGAGCTCCACCGGCAAAGGGGGCCATGGTGACACCCTCCTTCGTCCCTTTTCACTGTATTTCGGCCCCACGCCCGTTTACACATGCCTAAGTAGTTTTACAGGTATCGCTTGGTTTTTAACTAAATAAACCTTCACGAAGTGGACAAAACGGTTAAATAACATCTGCAAAGAAACAAATCGTGAAACTTGTTGAAACTGAAGTGATAAAATTTGAAAGAAACGGGCAAAGTGAAAATAACAAACAAGTAGAGCCTAGGAGGGAGAGCAGGTGTTTGGGGGGCAAAAACCTAGAGACGGACAAGCCCACGAACCATCCAAGTGGAAATGGAAACCTCAAGAAGGTAGCGGGATCTACCAGCCTGGAGCTTAAGGGGGCAGGCCTCACTGGAAAGAACGTAAGCATCATCAGCATACGCGTGGCATTTAAAGCCACGGCTTTCCTTTTTTTTTTTTTTTTTTATGTTTATTTATCTTTGAGAGAGAGAGAGAGAGAAGGAGAGAGACAGAATGCAAGGAGAGGGGCAGAGAAAGGGGGAGACACAGAATCCGAAGCAGGCTCCAGGCTCTGAGCTGTCAGCACAGAGCCCGGTGCGGGGCTCGAAACCACGAACCGTGAGATCATGACCTGAGCCCAACTGTGACCCCTAACTTACTGAGCCACCCAGGCACCCCGAAAGCCCTGGCGTTCAAAATTTTTTGGCCACAACTCACGCTAAGAAATTCACTTCACATAGCAGCCCCCACACAATGTATCTAACTGAAACAAAAGTTTCATGAACCCTTACTTATCCATATCATGTGTCATTCACCCTGTGTTCTATTCCAGGCTACCTGATTTTTCTCTTCTTACTGCTGAGCCTCAACTCACTCACCTGATTAGCACTACACGGTTATAAAATACTGGCCCAATTAGGAAAGTAGGAAACACCAAAGATCCCTCTTTAAAAAAAAAACAAAAACAAAAACTGGGGGCACCCGGTGGCTCAGTCGAGCATGTGGCTCTTGATTTCAGCTCAGGTCATAATCCCAGGGTTATGGGATAGACCTCGATGTCGGTGGAGCCTGTTTGTGATTCTCTCTCTCCACACCCCCCACCCCTCCCCGGCCCTTGCCCAGGCGAGCTCTCTCTTGCTCTCTCAAAACAAATAAACTTAAAAAAACAAAAAAACAAAAACTGACCCAGTTAGAGTTTCTGTTGGGACGATGACGAGTTTTGGAGATAAGATGGTGATGATCACGCAGCACTGCCAATGAACTTGTGCCATCGAATTGCAAACTTAAAAATGGCTAGAGGCGCCTGGGTGGCTCAGCCAGTTAAGTGTCCGACTTTGGCTCAGGTCACGATCTCGAGGTTCCTGGGTTCGAGCCCAGTGTCAGGCTCTGACAGCTCCTGGAGGCTGCTTCAGATCCTGGTCTCCCTCTTCTTCTGCCCCTCCCCTGCTCACGCTCTCTCTCTCTTAAAAATAAATAAACATTAAAAAAAATTTGGGGGGGGGGCACCTGAGTGGCTCAGTCAGTTAAGCGTGCAACTTCGGCTCAGGTCATGATCTCCCAGTTTGTGGGTTTGAGCCCCACATCGGGCTCTGTGCTGACAGCTCGGAGCCTGGAGCCTGCTTCAGATTCTATCTCATTTTCTCTCTGTCCCACCCCTGCTCACTCTCTGTCTCTCTCTCTCTCTCTCAAAAATAAATAAATGCAAAAAGAAAAAAATAAAAAAAAAATTTTTTTTTTGAATGGTTAAAATGGGGGGCACCTGGGTGGCTCAGTCAGTTGAGTGTCAGACTTCAGCTCAGGTCATGATCTCACAGTTCGTGAGTTCAAGCCCCGTGTCAGGCTCTGTGCTGACAGCTCAGCCTGGAGCCTGCTTCGGATTCTGTGTCTCCCTCTTTCTCTGCCCCTCCCCCACTCACAATCTGCCTGTCTCTGCCTCTCAAAAATCAACATTAAAAAATGGTTATTTTTTGTTATGTATATTTTATTACAATAATAATTTTTTTCAAAGCTGGCTCAGAGAGTGTAAATAGAGAAGAGTTTGTAAGGCTCGAGCTGTGAGGCCTCAGGTACTTAGAGGAAGAAGAAAAGATCCCACAGAGGGGAAGGGGACAAAGCTGGTCGGCAGGTGGAAAATGAGGAAAGGGCCAGACCCCAGAAGCCAAACCCAGAGAGCAAGGAGGACGTGACGGATGGGGACAAATACCCGGATCAAGACGAGGAGCAGAGGGGCGGTGAGGGGCGAGGCAGAGACGTCTCACTGAAGCATGAGGCCTACAGAGAAGACTGGCGAGGGGGGTTCAGAAGAGAGGAGGAGCTGAGGAAGTGGACGGAGCACGGAGAGAGAACTCTTTGAAGGAGTTTTGAAGGACCCAGAAAAATGGAGTAGTCGGACGCATATGTGAATTAAGGGTGGTTCTTTTTAAGATCAGAGATATCATCACATATTTATGTGTTGACAGAGTGCAGTCAAGAGGGAAAATGTGACAATAAGAACACGTAGAGGGGCACCTGGGTGGCTCAGTTGGTTAAGCGTCCGACTCTCGGGTTCGGCTCCGGTCACGATCTTGCAGTTTCGTGGGTTCAAGCCCCACATCGGGCTCTGCACTGACAGTGCGGAGCCTGCTTGGGATTCTCTCTCCCTCTCTCTCTGCCCCTCCCCTGCTCATGCTGTGTCTCTCTCAAAATAAATAAATAAACTTAAAAAAAAAAAAACAACCACACAGAAATATGTGGGACGGTAAACATAAGGTCCTCAAATCCTGCACCTGTGAGGAGCCAGGGGGGTTTTCCTCGTGACAGCAAGTAAGGCAGAGTCAGGGAAGCACAGTAGGCAGAGGAAGAAATTCTCTTTGGACAGTTCTACTGTCATAGTGAAAAAAAGAAAAGGAAATTAAATCATCAGATCAGAGTGAGGAAAGAACCTGTAAAACTGCTCCTTCAGAGAACAGGAGAGAGGACAGTCTGGGGAAAGGGGACAGGATTTCTAAGGCGCTGAGGCCCCACATGAGGTTTATAACCACGTATTTAAAGTAGGACCGTCAGCAAGGGTGTCTCCAGATATTCGGGGTTACTGGATTACTGGATAACACGGGTTCGTGGGCTCACGGGTTGAGCAAGCGGGGCTGGAATAACCAGGTTTGGATTTTTCCAGAATTCTGGGGAGGGAAGGGTAAGGAAGCTGGCTAAGGGCGTGTCTGAGAGAGTGATGGGAGCAGCAGAGCACAGAATCCAAGCCACTCAGAAGTGAGATTAATCTAAATAAACAACTCACCTACAGTTCTACCTGATAATCAAAAACACCTTCCTGCTTTCACTGAAAACATGATCATCAACCTTCGAGATGCTTAGTTTTCAAATGTTTTGCCACCTGGGATGGCTTCTTCAGATCAGTAAACGTCACCAACTTTCGCCTGCTGCACAGGCCAAGGGTGCCTCCTTCACGTCCAGAACGATACCAAAAAGCTGTGGATCTCTCCAAGTACACTCTGACCCTACCCACTTCCCACCATACCCTGTGCTCGGCTTGCCGCGGTCATCCCCCTGTCGGTCCCCATCACCTCTTCTTCCTCTCAGAAGCCAAAGAAGTTCAAAACTGGAAAGCAGATCGTGCCATTGCTTTCAACCATTCAAACCCCGACCTTGCCCGTCACCCTCTGACCTAATTCATGGGCTCCTCTCCAACCTAACTTCCACCTCGGTCCTGCCCGGGCCCCGCCGCACTGCCCTCTCTCACATGCCTCGGTCTTGCCAAACACACGCTCGCCTCAGGACCTTTGTATGTGCTTTTCCCTGGAACACCCTTCTCAAACGCTCCCGTAGCTTACCCCCTTCACTTCATTCAGGTCTCTACAGAAATGTCAGGTCCTCACGGAGACCTTCCCTGACCATCCTTCTAACTAGCAGTTTAACTCCTTACCCTGCCTTATTTTTCTTCAAAGGATTTATCATTACCTACTATGAGAACCCTCCTGTTCTGTCACCCCCGCCAGGCCATAGGCTCCATGAGGGATTTTCAGTTTCGTTTACCATGCTGTCCCAGGTACCTTCGCTAGTGCAGTTTACATGTAATAAACATTCAATAAATATTTACTGAGTGAATGAATGAATCCTCTTTTAGTGTATTTTTGTACATGTTTTTAACATACATATTGGTACAGTAACAGAGGAATATCGTTTACAAGTAAAGTAAAAACATGTATCGGGGGTACGTGCGCAAACATTTTTTTTCACTTACAAAGCGCACAGTAAGGGGAGCACCTGGGTGGCTCGGTTGGTTAAGACTGATTTCAGCTCAGGTCACGATCTCACAGTTCACGGGATCAAGCCTGGAGTCAGGGTCTGCACTGACAGGGCACGGCCTGCTTGGGATTCTCTCTCTCCCTGCCCCTCTCCCACCCGAGTGCGGCACTCTCTCGCAAAATAAGTAAATACACTTAAAAAAAAAAAGCATACGGTAAGAAAAAAAAAAAACGCAATTATAGCCGTAACCAGTAACCAAACTTGCACACATTCCTGGAGTATGGTGTCCCAGAGGGCCTGGTGTCTCTCTTAGGACACTTTGGCCACACCCATCTGCTCTCACTGGAAGCAAAAACTCCCCCAGATGGGGTTAAGGCCCTGAACCAATTCTTCTGCACCCTGTCCTTATGTTCCTCTAGAATATAAAATACCAGATTCTGTTAGAAATGAATAGACTGTTTGTTCTGATACAAACAAGGGCTGATTACTTACGGGTCCTACACAGTTGAGGACAATTGCCGCCTGCTTAGCCATTTCATCAAGTGAGGCGGGATTAGTGACATCACAAATTATTATTCCAACTTCGGAGGACAGTGTCGGTCTTCCTAAAGTAAGACATAAATCGTTTTCAACAAATCTGATACAGTGTTAGATCTTCCAGATCTTCTCTCTATACTAATCAGTGATGGTAATTTCAGGAAAAGCACAGAAAAAAGATAAGAACTTTTTAAACCAGGCGATATAAAAAAGAAAAAGCAGGGGCGCCTGGGTGGCGCAGTCGGTTAAGCGTCCGACTTCAGCCAGGTCACGATCTTGCGGTCCGTGAGTTCGAGCCCCGCGTCAGGCTCTGGGCTGATGGCTCGGAGCCTGGAGCCTGTTTCCGATTCTGTGTCTCCCTCTCTCTCTGCCCCTCCCCCGTTCATGCTCTGTCAATCTCTGTCCCAAAAATAAATAAAAAACGTTGGAAAAAAAAAAAGAAAAAGCTATGAGGAACATGGAGTTAATACTAAGAATTGCTACAAAAATAAAATACTAACCTTAAAAAAAAAACTAACTTAAGCACTGTGTAAATGATAACCCTGTGTAAGATGACAATTTTACGATTGTTTAGGTACTGAGTAGATCGCTGTCCTGATTTCCTCTCTGCCAGGAATTCCATGATGAAGTTTCTCATCAACTACTAACCAATTACATATGACAAAATATGGGGGTAAAAAGGGGTTGTTAAGATCATCATCATGAGAACAAAAAAAAGGACTCTGGGGTAGAAGGCACAGTCTAGGTAAGAATGCTCATGATAGGGGGCACCTGGGCCGCTCAGTCGGTTAAGAGTCCAAATTCGTTGGACTCATGTCATGATCCTGTGGTTTCTGGGTTCGAGCCCCGCACCGGGCTCTGTGCTGACAGCTCAGAGCCTGGAGTCTGTTTCGGATTCTGTGTCTCCCTGTCTGACCCTCCCCCACACACGCACCTGCACTCTCTCTCCCAAAAATAAATAAATATTTAAAAATTAAAAAAAAAAAGGACACTCATGATGGGCTTATAAGTAAATAACTGGAATTAACAGAATCGAGTAATGCAGGTTCTGGTGGTGCAAGGTGCATCCCTCACAATAATTCAATCTAGGCATTACAAACGATAATCAGACTGTGCCTGCATGGTCTTGTTGAGCAGGAAAAAGAAATGGAAGAATATATTTTAATAGTGAAATCAGGGGCGCCTGGGTGGCTCAGTCGGTTAAGCGTCCGACTTCGGCTCAGGTCACGATCTCGCGGTCCGTGAGTTCGAGCCCCGCGTCAGGCTCTGGGCTGATGGCTCAGAGCCTGGAGTCTGCTTCCGGTTCTGTGTCTTCCTCTCTCTCTGCCCCTCCCCCATTCATGCTCTGTCTCTCTCTGTCCCAAAAATAAATAAACGTTAAAAAATAAATAAATAAATAAATAAATAAATAAATAAATAGAATTTCATGTAATTTCTAAAACATTTATATTAAAAAAAATAGTGAAATTATTTCTTTTGGAAAACTAAAACAGACAACACCAACAAGCTCTTTGGTCAAGACTGTAGATTGGCAGTGGCTGGCGGGAGAAAGAGTTGTAGGAGAACTGAGCCTACGTGAGATCTTCTGCACTTAATCACAAACAAAACAGAGTCTACACCTCCCACCACACGCAGGCTCAGGGTGGAATTAGAAGGAAGCGTGGGATGAAGGTTAAACACAAGAACGCAGCACACCCCGAACTCTAACAGGCGCTGTGGGTCTGTATGAGGGGACACCAGGCGGCAAGAATCCTCAGATGCGTCCCCTGATCCTGAGGGCAGGGTCCCTGTGTGTGCTGTCACATCTGTACCCCCAGCCCTCGGAACAGGATCTGGCACAGAAAAGACCACGCAGTAAAAATATGTTGAATGAATGCTAAAAGAATAAGTAAACGCCCAAACCAGAAATACTTACGCGGGAGGGTGGAGAGAGCGTAAGAAAGAGGATTCTTAACAGGCAAAAAATAAATTAAGAAACGAAAGCCACAACATCGTTATCAAAAAAACTGTGAGGCTTTCCCCGCACACTTCCAGAAAGGCAGGCCGAGGGGGGAGGGCAGAACACCCGAAGGAAGCAAAGCCCTACTTTGCCATCCTACCAAATCCGGGGAGACCTGCAGCCCCACCGGGTGCCCCTGCTCAGCGGGGCGCAGACAGGAGGAGCTGGCGTCCCCGTCTACGCGGCCAGCGGGACTCGCCAAACTGGAGGAGGAGGAATTCCATGGAGGAGAAACGTATTTATTTCTGTATTTCGTTCAGGGAGTGGAACAAAGACGTGCTATCATCCTCCAGCCTCGCCTCCTCCTCCGGCCGTGCGGCCGGGCCCGGGGAGCCCCAGGGGCGCCCCCTGCAGGACAAACGCTCGCGGCGGACGACCCCAACCCTGCGGCCCCGGAAGCCGCCGCCCCCCCCCCCCCTGCCCCTTTACCCAGCTTCAGGGCAGCCCTCTCCAGCACTCGCTGCAGCTTCTCCCGGGAGCGGCCCGCCACGGCCCAGGGCAGGCTGGAGCTCTGCCCCGAGGCCACCTGCTCCCGGGCCACCTCCTCGGCCACGAACTGGCCGGTGAAGCCTGAGGCGCCAAACACCACCAGGTGATACGGCCTCTGGTTGGTCTCCATGACGAGCCCACAGCGAGCCGAGGGCCGGGGCGGGCGAAGTCCACCGCGTCTGCGCCTCGGGCAGCGATCCCAGTACCGGGCGCAGCAACAACCGCCTCTGGGGTGGACGCCGCCGCCGCCGCAGCCACCCGGTGCCCCGAGCGCGGCGCCGCGCTCAGAGCCACGCCCACAGTCACGCCCACAGCCACGCCCCCGCCACCCCCTCCCGGGCCCATTGCGCAGCCGCCGCGCCCACGGTCATGGCCACGCCCCTTCCACTTCGCGGCGGATCCCGACGCCCTGCAGCCGCGCCGTCTCCGCGCTGCCGCGGCTCCCAAGTAGCTCTGATCACCCAAGGCGTCGTCTCCCCTCCTGGGGGCTGAGGGCGGCTGCGACCTCCATTATTCTTGTTGCACCAGGGCGTTGCGCAAGGGAAGAGACGGAAGAAATTTCCGGTGACTGGACAGACTGCTCGCTCCAAGAACTATTTTCCAAGCACGCTGGCCAAGGGATGTTCGCGAAGCCAGGGCGGGTGGAGAGTGAACGGGTTCTGGGCCCCCAGGGAGCCCCCAAGCTCTTCGGGGCCCCCGTTCGCAGTGCCCTGTGCCGCATGCCCCTGACTCCACCGCCCTGGCGCCCATACCCACCCCGGGACCCCCCTCCCCCCCATCACGGTCGTGACCCCGTTGCTGCCCTGAGGCTCCCTGGGGAAATAACTCCAGGCGCTAATCTGCCTTTGAGCTGGGAGGTTAGGGAGAGCCTCAAGATGCAAAAGAAGGTTCTTGAGCTGTGTTATTCGTATATGTCTAGAAACATTTTAATATAAATAAACGAGGGAGAAGAGACAACTCTCCCAGTACATAATTCCAAATAACTGTGTAGTTACTCCCCCCTCCAGCAGAGGAGCCTAGTGACTTGTGTTAATCCTAAAAATAATCCCGCCAGCTATTTCACCAGCAAAAAAATGGGTTTATTCAGGGATAGCAGAGAATTGCAATACTGGACAAACAAGCTATGGCAAAACCGTATGCAAGTCCCCAGAACAAAGGAGGAGAACCCTTATTTATAGAAGAGAAGGAGATTGGAAAGGATTTTATAAACAAAAGTCCATTGGAATGAGGCGGGAGCTCAGAGTGTAGTAGCTTCCCGTTGGCTGAGCTGTGACAGTCTGTCATCGGCTGCGCTTTGCAGCGAGGGGAGGGGTGGAGGAGGAACCCTTTCTTCCTCCTCCTGGAATGGCGTCCACCTGCAAGGTCCTTCTGTCCCTGTTGGGTCTTGGCAGTGGACAAGAGTGGAGGGAAGCGAGAGCTCCCCCTGCTGGCCTCCGCACTCCATTCTAAATAAATCTTTTATTAATTTTCACACTCCCTTCCAAAGAATAGACTATGGAAAGAGGGGGAGGGGATAGCTCTACAATGGGAAAACCTGGTCAACATTACCTCAGCCAAATGATCCAGGTTAACATCCTCAATGATAAGTCATGTTCACGGCACAGAGTTTTGATATGATGTGATAAGAATGATACTTTATCTCTGTGAGCTGTCGCCCCCAAACCCATAACCTCAGTCCAAGCATGATGAATATTCTACAAACATTCTCCAAGAGCATCCAAAGGCCATCAAAAACAAGGACCATCTGAGAAAACACCACAGACTCAAGGAGCCTAGATATGACAAAATGTAATGTGGTATCCTCGATGGGACCCTGAGACAGAAAAAGGACATCAGAGGAAAGCTAGTGAAATCCCAATAAAGTGGGGCATTTCATCAATAACAATGTACCAACAATGTACCAATATTTCTCAGTTGTGACAAATATACCAAAGTAGTATAAGACGTTAACAATGGGGAAAACCAGGGTAAAGAAGGTAAAGGGGAATACTCTGTATTATGTTTTTACCTTTTCTGTGAATCTAAAACTATTCAAAAATACAAACATAGCTTAAAAACCATTTGTAGGGACACCTGGGTGGCTCAGTCGGTTAAGCATCCGACTTCAGCTCAGGTCACGATCTCGTGGTCCGTGAGTTCGAGCCCCGCGTCGGGCTCTGGGCTGATGGCTCAGAGCCTGGAGCCTGTTTCCGATTCTGTGTCTCCCTCTCTCTCTGCCCCTCCCCCGTTCATGCTCTGTCTCTCTCTGTCTCAAAAATAAATAAAACGTTAAAAAAAATTTGTATACCTTTGTATTGGACATGGAAATATATCGTTTCATTTAATGCTGTTTAAGCATTTCCAGTGAACCTGCTATGTGTGAACCTTCAACTAGACACAGTGATTAATAAGACAAGGCCCTCCCTAATTGGAAGAGAAACAGGTTATTTTCATTCAAACGATTTTTTTATTTTATTTTATTTTATTTTCCACGTTTATTTATTTTTGGGACAGAGAGAGACAGAGCATGAACGGGGGAGGGGCAGAGAGAGAGGGAGACACAGAATCGGAAACAGGCTCCAGGCTCTGAGCCATCAGCCCAGAGCCCGACGCGGGGCTCGAACTCACGGACCGCGAGATCGTGACCTGGCTGAAGTCGGACGCTTAACCGACTGTGCCACCCAGGCGCCCCCAAACGATTTTTTTAAAGTCTATGACTCTTGAGAGAGCGAGAGTGAAGGAGGGGCAGAGAGAGGGAGACAGAGGATCCAAAGCAGACTCCAAACTGACAGCAGAAAGCCAGATGTGGGGCTCGAACTCACAAACCACGAGATTGTGACTACACCAGTCTGATGCCCAACCGACTGAGCCACCAAGGCGCCCAGGGAGATCACTAGTTTAATTGCAGAACATGTGGTAAATGAGGAAAGAAACTCTCTGGGGCACAAGAAATAAGACTCTTGTCCTTGGTTATAGCTGTTGGTGATGCCCAACACTATGGCAGGGACCCTGAAGAGGGCATCTTCAAGAGGAACTTGGCCTTGACTCACATTAATAGGGCTTAGATGTAGAAAGATCAAGAGATGGGTATTCATGTGTTCATCCAATAAACATTTATTGGGTGTGTCATATTTACCAGGTGCAGAAACCAGGGCCAGATTTTCAAGTAAAGTGGTATTTAAAAAAAATTTTTTTTTAATGTTTATTTATTTTGGGGACAGAGAGAGACAGAGCATGAATGGGGGAGGGGCAGAGAGAGAGGGAGACACAGAATCAGAAGCAGGCTCCAGGTTCTGAGCCATCAGCCCAGAGCCTGACGCGGGGCTCGAACTCATGGACCGCGAGATTGTGACCTGAGCTGAAGTCGGACGCTTAACCGACTGAGCCACCCGGGCGCCCCTAAAGTGGTATTTTAATAAAACACCAAGAAGTCACTTGATTAGATTTAACGTGCGGTCTTGATTTGTTTTAACGCTCATTAAAATAAAAATAGAATAATGCTTTTTAAAATTATGAAATATGTCAGTCATAAAAAAAAAAAGTAAAGCCAACAGCAAATATGCACTCACCACACAATGTAAGAAAATTCCAGGTAGTGAAGCTTTGGGCACCCATCCCTGAGCGCATTTCTTTTCCTATGCTCAATGTAGCCACTAGCTTAAACCGGGCGCTTGTCATTCTAGTTCGTATCTTTCTATTTCTGTCGTATATGTATGCATTTCTAAATATTATGGTATTGTTTTATGTATTTTGAGTTTTTATAAATGCTAATCCTTCTGCAACTTTATCATTTTTTTTTTCAACGTTTATTTATTTTTGGGATAGAGAGAGACAGAGCATGAACGGGGGAGGGGCAGAGAGAGAGGGAGACACAGAATCGGAAACAGGCTCCAGGCTCTGAGCCATCAGCCCAGAGCCCGACGCGGGGCTCGAACTCCCGGACCGCGAGATCGTGACCTGGCTGAAGTCGGATGCTTAACCGACTGCGCCACCCAGGCGCCCCATATCATTTTTTTTTTTTTAAGTTTCATTTATTTTGAGAGAGAGAAAGCAGGAGGGGCAGAGAGAGGTGGAGAGAGAGAAATCCCAAGCAGGCTCCTCATTGTCAGTGTCAAGTCCGATGCGGGGTTCGAACTCACGAACCGAGAGATCATGACCTGAGCCAAAATCAAGAGACTGACACGTAACCAACTGAGGTACCAAGGCGCCCCTGCAGCTTTCTTACTTAATCACGATGTACTCAGCTTATTTTCAAATGGTTCAGAACAAAAAATAACGGGTGGTATGCGTGTGTGGTGGGAGAGTAATACAATGTTACAATGCTTTTGCATTATTTTATACAATTTTGTGCATTGCTTTTGTACAATACAAAGAGTGCTATATTAGAATTCCTGTACAGGTCTCCTTGAGCACACGTGCAAGAGTAGAGCTTAATATATACTTAGGAAGGAAAATGGTTAGTCCTAGAGTAGACACATATGAGATGTTGTCAGTGTGCTTTCCAAAGCAAAATACTGATTTACACTCTCAGCAGGATATGAGGATTCAGTTGCTTCACATCCTTGCCAGCACTTGGTATTATCAGCCTCCTAATTTTTGACCGTCTGATGGGTGTACAATGGTAAGTGGTCAAGTATTTATTGAGCACTTACTATATGCTTGGCTCTAGGAATAAAATACCAGGGATACTGAAATAAACCAAAGCCACTGCCCACATTAAAATTTACATTCTAATGCAGTAGAAAAATCAACACCATCAAAATAACCTTACGGATATGTACGAGTTTGCAAGAACATTTATGCGAGAATGTTCATCGAAACATTCTTTGTAATAAAAGACTAGAAACAACTAAAATGTCTTTCATCAGAGGACTTGTTCGATAAAGTACGGTATCCTATCCATTCAATATTGACCATGCAAGTTAAGATGAAGGAGGCATATGTATCATGGCATGGCAATTGTCCAAGACATTGTAAGTGCAAAGAACAAGTTTACTCACAATATGAGAGCATAAGTCCTTTATTTAAGATGCAAAGGATATGTGTATATTTTATAAAACATCGGGAAGAACACATGACAAATCTTAGCAAAACAATAGCTGTAAGATGCTTGAGAACATATGTTTTCTTTTTTAATGTTTATTTCTTTTTGAGAGAGAGAGAGAGAGAGAGAGAGAGAGAGAGAGAGAGAATGAATGGGGAGGGGCAGAGAGGGAGACACAGAAGCCGAAGCAGGCTCCAGGCTCCGAGGTGTCAGCACAGAGCCTGACATGGGGCTCGAACTCACGAACCATGAGATCATGAC